GACAACTTGTGCACGATGTAAGTGTTCGTATTGTGGGGTAAATGCTTCACCAACTTACGCAAGTGTACGTGTATGAATGACAAGTGGACAGGTATTAACATTCATTGTCGTGACGGAGTGACTCCTCTTACGTGTTTGTCTATTTGTTTACAGTTCTCAGAGTCCCTTCTCCTCTCTTGTTTACTCTTCCTCTATCGTTTATGATAACATCTAGGGGCAGTTGTTAGAAAGGATTAATCTCGGTGAGCAAGGTATGTTGATGGTAATAATAATAATAATAATAATAATAATTGTGCTGGGGCATATTTCATGTAGGTATGGTAGGAGGTATAGGAGCTACCACACCGGACTTCCTACAAATAAATACTACTCACCTTTCACCCTTCATTAAGACTACAAATATTTTCAGGTAAGTAATGAGCTTACTGTATATACATTCTATTGCTCTAGGGCACTTTAAATGTCATATATTATGTGTGGGTTGGTAGCCAGGTGGGCTACCACACCTGACTTCTTACAATAAGTACTACTCACCTCTCACCCTACATTAAGACTACACTTATTTTAAGGTAAGTAATAAGTGTACTGTATATGCATTCTATCACTTTAGAGCATTTAAATGTTGTATATTATGTGTGGGTGGGGTGGCCAAGTGGGCTACCACACCTGACTACCATACCTACCACACCTGACTTCCTACAAATAAATACTACTCATCTCTCACCCTACATTAAGACTACAAATATTTTAAGGTAAGTAATGAGTGTACTGTGTGTGTATTTTACTTTTTATTGTTTTTTAATGCTTAGTTCTCAGCCAGAGATTTGTGACGTGTTCATGCTCTCATGTTTGAATTCAACCTAGCTTGTCGCTCTGCTCAAGTGCCCACCAGTCACCCTCCACACAAAAGAACTGCTGAGTTCAGCTTTATATCTCTTCCTTACTACACATTGCAACAGTATTCAGTACAAGAGAGTAGGTTTCTTGTTATCTAGCTAGTGACTAGAATTCCTAATACGTAGTCCCAACTTGTAGATAAAGTGGAGTGCAGGTTTTCCCTTTGTTTTCCTGCTATGGAGGAAGTGTAATTACTCTCGTTTAACTCGCTGTGTAGTTAATCAGGAACTCTAGCAAAGCGTGCCTCGAGGAAGGTGTGCTTTGTGATGCTATGGTACAGACATATGTTCCTCATAAAGCTGTTTCCGAAGAAGGAAGAGTCCACTAGCCCCTTCCAGGAGGGCTAAGTCCCTCAGGGCTGAGGGGGTGCTGAGAGATACCTCCTTTACTGGAGAATTTTCTTCACAGGGTTCATGGAGGCCAGAGTTACTCCTATCTTCAAGAAAATGGTAGGTCTGACAGCAATTATAGACCTGTTGTATACTCAGTGTGATGGCCAAAATTCTAGAGAAAATGGTGTATTATCAAAATATCTGAATGCCAAAAAACATTCCCCATAGTTACCATTCAGGTTTCGGGAGATCTTACTGGACTGATACTTCCCAGTTAATCTTATGGACTACCTGAGAACTCAAATTTTGTTAGGGAATCTCATAGGTATGGTGACCTTAGACTTGCAAAAGGCATTTGATACAATTAACCATAATATATTACGTAAGAAACTGCAAGTTATCAGCAAAGGTTCTGTAGACTGGTTTAAGGAGGGGAAGGCTTGCTTCCTCAAAAGAAAAAAAAATTGAAAAAATTTGGAAAAAATGTTATCTTACTAAAAAATAGTGCATAATTCTGGCACCATTTTGATGCACTCAGCTTATTTCTATCACATTTCTAAGTATCTTTTTTCTAAAAATGTAATTTTTTTTCCTGCTGTCATCAAGAGGACATGATGCCAATTTCTGATTTTTTTTCTTTTACTCCAAAAATTATGATTTTTATGATTGTTTCTTTCCAAATACACTAGTTGGCACTTTCTCATTGGAGAACTAAACAGTGCGCAGAGCAGTATTATGCCAGTACCCTGTGGGCTGCTGAGATGAGTAGGGGTGCACGGTTTGCCAAGACTTGGCACGCGGTGACCGTGGAGTTTTACACAGAATGAAAAAAAAACTCAGGAGTTTTAGTTGTTTGTAGTCACACTTTTCGAGAACTAGTGAACGGATTGTTATGATTTTTGCACACTTTCTTGAGGAATGATGGTTCTACAAAATGATTATGTGGATTTTTGATATTCCTTACCATTTTGTTTTTATTGATTTTTTCCCCCAAAAAAATAAAATGGTGAAGATCAATAATATAGAATCAGAACCCCTGCTGATGGCATAGCTGGGCTCTGGGAGTAGAAAAACTCTTGGAACTCATCAAAGGTATCAAATGCAAGGTAGTATTTTTGGTCCCTTGCTATTTTTACGTTATGTGAATGACATGCCCATCAGTATCAAGTGTATCTGTTGTTTGCAGATGACTGCTCTGCTAGTCTCAGGTAAAGACCCACAAGATATAGCTAACATACTATCACTAGAACTAGAGTCCTGCAGCAAATGGCTGGTAGACAAACAATTTCTACAAGTCTGGAAAACAGAAGACATACTCTTTGGCATGAAAAGTAAACTGAAAAGGGTAAATACTTTTAATGTCCATTGTCCAATGTAATGGGGATCCCATCACTTCAGCACCTTCAGTGAAATATCTGGGAGTTCTCTTTGACCCAAGCAAGTCAAAAGAATTGATAGTGAACATTGTAGTAAAAAAAAACAAAGTGAATGCCAGGCTAAAATTCCTCTATAGGCAGGTACAAAGTCTACCTACTGAGGCCTGCAGGACCACATGTCAAGCCTTTATACCATGTCATGTTGTAGGGTTATAATTGAAAGAATTAGAGGTAAGACAGAATGTAGAATTGCGGATGAGCAAGGAGGCTTCAGAGTGGGTAGGGGATGTGTAGATCAAGTGTTTACATTGAAGCATATATGTGAACAGTATTTAGATAAAGGTAGGGAAGTTTTTATTGCATTTATGGATTTAGAAAAGGCATATGATACACTGGATAGAGGAGCAATGTGGCAGATGTTGCAAGTTTATGGAATAGGTGGTAAGTTACTAAATGCTGTAAAGAGCTTTTATGAGGATAGTGAGGCTCAGGTTAGGGTGTGTAGAAGAGAGGGAGAATACTTCCCGGTAAAAGTAGGTCTTAGACAGGGATGTGTAATGTCACCATGGTTGTTTAATATATTTATAGATGGGGTTGTAAAAGAAGTAAATGCTAGGGTGTTCAGGAGAGGGGTAGGATTAAATTATGGGGAATCAAATTCAAAATGGGAATTGACACAGTTACTTTTTGCTGATGATACTGTGCTTATGGGAGATTCTAAAGAAAAATTGCAAAGGTTAGTGGATGAGTTTGAGAATGTGTGTAAAGGTAGAAAGTTGAAAGTGAACATAGAAAAGAGTAAGGTGATGAGGGTATCAAATGATTTAAATAAAGAAAAATTGGATATCAAATTGGGGAGGAGGCGTATGGAAGAAGTGAATGTTTTCAGATACTTGGGAGTTGACGTGTCGGCGGATGGATTTATGAAGGATGAGGTTAATCATAGAATTGATGAGGGAAAAAAAGGTGAGTGGTGCATTGAGGTATATGTGGAGTCAAAGAACGTTATCTATGGAGGCAAAGAAGGGAATGTATGAAAGTATAGTAGTACCAACACTCTTATATGGATGTGAAGCTTGGGTGGTAAATGCAGCAGCGAGGAGACGGTTGGAGGCAGTGGAGATGTCCTGTCTAAGGGCAATGTGTGGTGTAAATATTATGTAGAAAATTCGGAGTGTGGAAATTAGGAGAAGGTGTGGAGTTAATAAAAGCATTAGTCAGAGGGCAGAAGAGGGGTTGTTGAGGTGGTTTGGTCATTTAGAGAGAATGGATCAAAGTAGAATGACATGGAAAGCATATAAATCTATAGGGGAAGGAAAGAGGGGTAGGGTCGTCCTCGAAAGGGTTGGAAAGAGGGGGTAAAGGAGGTTTGTGTGGCGAGGGGCTTGGACTTCCAGCAAGCATGCATGAGCGTGTTAGATAGAAGTGAATGGAGAACGAATGATACTTGGGATCTGACGATCTGTTGGAGTGTGAGCAGGGTAATATTTAGTGAAGGGATTCAGGGAAACCGGTTATTTTCATATAGTCGGACTTGAGTCCTGGAAATGGGAAGTACAATGCCTGCACTTTAAAGGAGTGGTTTGGGATATTGGCAGTTTGGAGGGATATGTTGTGTATCTTTATACGTATATGCTTCTAAACTGTTGTATTCTGAGCACCTCTGCAAAAGCAGTGATAATGTGTGAGTGTGGTGAAAGTGTTGAATGATGATGAAAGTATTTTCTTTTTGAGGATTTTCTTTCTTTTTTTTGGGTCACCCTGCCTCGGTGGGAGACGACCGACTTGTTGAAAAAAAAAAAAAAAGTTGATTATTCGTATTCTTCATGGTACTGTGCTTTAAAAAAAAATGAACATACCACAAATCATCCGGAACAAAATTGTGCGATTCATTCTGGGTGTGGCTCAAGAGGATGCAGCTGGAAGCTGAAGACACAGATGATCCATAAAAAAGATGTTAGTAAATATAACTTTAGTCCTTGAGTAGTTAAAAAATGGAATGATCTAGAGGAGGCAGCAATGGAGGCAAACTTACTGCACAACTTCAAGAGTAAATATTATAAGGTCCAAGAGGCCAGAAGTTGATAAGTGTAGTTTAAAATTTGGGGCCAGGAGCTGAGTCTTGATCCCCCCCACCCCCCAACAGTGCAGTGAGTACAATTCAGTAAGTATATTTTCATCTCCCTATCCTCCTCCCTCTATATATACATACAATATATTGTTTTACTTGTATAAAGTGGTAACAGTTATATCTTAAAATACATTATGTAGTTGCAAACTTTTTTTGTCTAGCAGCTTATGGGTTAATATTCATATTCATACTTCTTGCTTTTTTCTCTCTATTGTATAATGAGACTACTTTCTATATTTAACATGTATAACATTGTTTTCACAGCCACCAAGGGCCAGAGTTTAAAAGAAGAATGGATCGCATACATTTCTCGGGAAATACTGCGTGGTTTGTCTCACCTACATGCAAGTAAAGTCATCCATAGGGATATAAAAGGTCAAAACGTGCTTCTCACAGATAATGCTGAAGTTAAACTAGGTAAGTTGGGAGCCAGTTGAGTTAATGAAAGCTACTACTAACAAATTTCATAATTGCAATGCCTCTGAATTTATAATACTGTATCTGTGGATGGTTTGATGTCAAAAGTGCAGGAAGTGCCTTAACTCATGAGCATGTGCCCACAATGTTTCACATTAGAAATGAATTGTTTGAAAGCCAGAACCTGTTATCATATGGAAAATGATAGTTCAAATCATAATTGAGTCGCATGTTTGGAGGTTACAATTGACAGTTATGAATTGACATTTCTCAGTATAGTGTGTTTTTAGAATCTTGTTCTCAAGTGCAGAGCATCATAACTTAGGCTCTGCAAGTCAGGGTGACCCCGTGCTGTACTACATTGAGATTGTGTCAGACTTGCAAGATAATCTTGAGTTCTGCATATACATTAAATGTGTAGTGTTCCATGAGATGTTTTACTTATTACTAGTTCATTTAAAATGAACAATAGGTGGTAGATGGAGTAAAAGGAAAATAGCAACAGCAAGAAAGAGAGAGGTGAAAGTTCATAAACTAAGGGAAGAGGAAGTTTGGGTGAGATATAAGCAACTATTGGGAGAAAGGTGGGCTAATGTGAGTATAGGTAGTGGGGAGGTTGAAGAGGGGTGGGATAGTTTTAAAAAGGCAGTAGTAGAATGCAGAGTAGAAGTTTGTGGCTATAGGAAGGTGGATGCAGATTGAAAGAGGAATGCTTGGTGGAATGATGAGGTAAAGGGTGTGGTAAAAGAGAGAAGGGTGGCTTATGAGAGATTTTTATAGAGCAAAGTGATACATGAAGGGTGGAGTTTATGGAGAGTAAAAGAGAGGTGAAGAGAGTGATGAGGGAGTGCAAAAGGAGAGCAAATAATACAGTGGGTGAGGCACTGTAAACAGATTTTTGCCGAGACTAAGAAAAAATTTTGGAGTGAGATAAACAGGTTAAGAAAGCCTAGGGAATGAATGGATTTGATAGTTAAAAACAGAATAGGGGAGTTAGTAGATGGGGAGTTGGAGTTATTGGGAAGATGGCAGGAATAGTATGAGGAACTGTTAAATGTTGATGAAAAGAGGAAGGCAGTAATTTCATGCACTGGCCAAGGAGGTATAACATCTTTTAGGAGTGAAGATCCTGATGTGAGTGTGTGAGATGCATGAGGCATTAGGTAGAATGAAAGGGTGGTAAAGCAGCTGAAACTGATGGGATCATGACAGAAATGTTCAAAGCAAGTGAGGATGTAGTTTTGGAGTGGTTGGTACTTTTGTTCAGTAAATGTATGAAAGAGGGGAAGGTGCCTAGGGATTGGCAGAGGGCATGTAAATTTTTTTTATGTAAGGAGGGCAAAAGAGATTGTAAAAATTATAGGGAATAAGTTTACTGAGCATACCAGGTAAAGTGTATGGTAGGAGTTATTACTGAAAGAATTAGAGGTAAGATAGAGAGCAGGACTGCAGCTGAACAAGGAGACTTCAGAATGGGTAAGGGATGTGTAGATCAAGTGTTTACATTGAAGCATATAAGGAAACAATATTTAGATAAAGGTAGGGAAGTTTTTATTGCATTTATGAATTTAGAAAAGACATACGATAGGGTGGATAGGGGAGCAATGTTGCATATGTTGCGAGTGTATGAAACAGTAAGTTGATAAATGCTGTAAAGAATTTTTATGAGAATAGTGAGGCTCAGGTTAGGGTGTGTAGGAGAGAGGGAGATTACTTTCCAGTAAAAGTAGGTCTTAGACAAAGATGTGTAATGTTACCATGGTTGTTTAACGAACAGTGGACCCTCGGTTGTTGGCCGTAATCCGTTCCGGAAGGTCATCTGAAAACCGAAATAATATTTCCCATAAGAATTAATGTAAATACAATTAATCCGTTCCAGACAAAATTTTTTTTTTCTCTCAACAAGTCCGCCATCTCCCACCGAGGCAGGGTGACCCAAAAAGAAAGAAAATCCCCACAAAGAAAATACTTTCATCATCATTCAACAATTTCACCTCACTCGCACATAATCACTGTTTTTGCAGAGGCGCTCAGAACACAACAGTTTAGAAACATATACAGTGGACCCTGGCCTAACGCTATTAATCCGTTCCTGAGAGCTCAACGTTAGGCAAAATTATCGTTAGGCGAATTAATTTTCCCCATAAGAAATACAGTGGACCCCCGCATACCGTTGGCATCACATAACGTTAAATCCGCATACCGATACATTTTATCGCTAAGATTTTGCCTCGCATACTGCTAAAAAACCCGCTCAACACTATTCGTCCGAGACGCGTCTAATGTGCGGCCTGAGCCAGCCTCACATGTTCCGCCGGTGGCATTGTTTACAAGCCAGCCTCCACGGTAACATCCAAGCATACAATCGTAACATTTTGTAATTTAGTGTTTTTGGTGATTTTAAACTGCAAAATAAGTGACCATGGGCCCCAAGAAAGCTTCTAGTGCCAACCCTGTGGTAAAAAGGGTGAAATATTATCGAAATACTGTGGTACCATGGTCAACTGCTGATGCTGCTGCTGCTGTAGCACCGTCAGCTGCTGCTGCTGCTGTACCACCGTCAGCTGCTGCTGCTGGCCCGCACTGTCAGCTTGCATTGCTGCTGCTGTTAGCACCGTCAGCTGCTGCTGCTGCTGTAGTACCGTCTGCTGCTGCTGCTGCTGTAGCATCGTCTGCTGCTGCTGTAGCACTGTCAGCTGCTGCTGCTGCTGCTGCTGCTGTAGCCCTGTCAGCTGCTGCTGCTGCTGCTGTAGCACTGTCAGCTGCTGCTGCTGCTGTAGCACCGTCAGCTGCTGCTGCTGCTGTAGTACCGTCTGCTGCTGCTGCTGCTGGAGCATCGTCTGCTGCTGCTGTAGCATCGTCTGCTGCTGCTGCTGCACTGTCAGCTGCTGCTGCTGCTCCCGTAGCCCTGTCAGCTGCTGCTTTCTGCTTGCTGTAGCACTGTCAGTGCTGGCTGCTGCTGTAGCACCGTCAGCTGCTGCTGCTGCTGTACCACCATCAGCTGCTGCTGCTGCTGTAGTACCATCTGCTGCTGCTGTAGCATTGTCTGCTGCTGCTGTAGCACTGTCAGCTGCTGCTGCACTGTCAGCTGCTGCTGTAGCACTGTCAGCTTCTGCTGCTGCTGTAGCACTGTCAGCTGCTGCTGCTGCTGCTGTACCACCGTCAGCTGCTGCTGCTGCTGTAGCACCGTTGTTGGTGTGGCTTATTGAGAATACCAAGAAACAATTAACCCCAGAGGGTTAGCCACCCAGGATAACCCAAAAAGTCAGTGTCATCGAAGACTGTCTAACTTATTTCCATTGGGGTCCTTAATCTTGTCTCCCAGGATGCAACCCACACCAGTCGACTAACACCCAGGTGAACAGGGAAAAATGCCTGGAACTAGTGCTCATATTGGTGAATTTAAAGCCAGCAAAGGTTGGTTTGAGAGATTTAAGAATCGTAGTGGCATACACAGTGTGATAAGGCCTGTTCTGGAAGAAAATGCCAAACAGGACCTACAGTACTCAGGAGGAAAAGGCACTCCCAGGACACAGTGTCTCATCAGTCATTGCTGCATCTTCAATAAAGGTAAGTGTCATTTATTCTTCATTTAGTAGAGTAGTACATGCACAATATATACTGTGCATGTACTACTCTACTATTGTGCATGTATCCTTCTCTTTGTGTGTAGGAAAATGTATATTTCATGTGGTAAAAAATTTTTTTCATACTTTTGGGTGTCTTGCACGGATTAATTTGATTTCCATTATTTCTTATGGGGAAAATTCATTCGCATAATGATAATTTCACATAACAATGAGCTCTCATGAACGGATTAATATCGTTATGTGGGGTCCACTGTAATGGAAATCAAATTAATCCGTTCCTGACACCCGAAAGTATGAACAAAAAATTTTTTTTACCACATGAAATATTAATTTTAATACACACAAACTGAAGAAGACATGCACAGTTACATGACACTTACCTTTATTGAAGATCTGGTGATGATTGATGGGATGGGAGGAGGGGAGAGTGTTGATGGTGTTGGTGTTTAGAAGGGGAATCCCCTTCCATTAGGACTTGATGTGGCAAGTCCTTTTCCGAGGTTACTTCTCTTCTTCTTTTAATGCCACTAGGACCAGCTTGAGAGTCACTGGACCTCTGTCGCACAACATATCTGTCCGTAGAGACCTGTACCTCCCGTTCCTTTATGACATTCCTAAAGTGTTTCACAACATTGTCAGTGTACAGGTTGCCAACACGGCTTGCAATAGCTGTGTGAGGGTGATTTTCATCAAAAAAGGTTTGCACTTTAAGCCACATTGCACACATTTCCTTAATCTTTGAATTAGGCAACTTCCTCAATTTCTCTATCCCCTCCTCCGAAGCAGTTTCCTCAGGTGTGGCCTCTTGCTGTTGAAGATGATCTAGTAGCTCATCAATGGTTAGTTCTTCATTGTTCTCCTCCACCAACTCTTCCACATCCTCCCCACTAACCTCCAACCCCAAGGACTTCCCCAATGCCACAGTAGATTCCTCAACTGGCATAGGATTCCCAGGGTTAGCCTCAAACCCTTCAAAATCCCTTTTGTCTACACATTCTGGCCACAGTTTCTTCCAAGCAGAGTTCAAGGTCCTCTTAGTCACTTCCTCCCAAGCCTTATCTATAATGTTTACACAATTGAGGATGCTAAAGTGATCTCTCCAAAACACTCTTAGTCAGTTGAGTTTCTGAGGTCACTACAAGCACATTTCAAACATAGCTTTTGTGTACAGTTTCTTGAAGTTGGAAATGACCTGCTGGTCCATGGGCTGCAGGAGAGGAGTGGTATTAGGAGGCAAAAACTTGACCTTAATGAAGCTCATGTCCCCATAAAGTCGCTCTGCCACGTCTGTAGGATGACCAGGGGCATTGTCTAATACCAGGAGGCACTTAAGGTCTAATTTCTTTTCAATTAGGTAATTTTTCAGTGGGGGCAAATGCATGGTGTAACCAGTCATAGAAAAAGTCCCTA